TTCGAATTGTTTGGTAAGTTTTCTTTTATACGGTACCAAAACTGCAATAAAACAGAATTCTACTCTATATTGAACCTAATAAATTATATTTTTTTAGACAACAAATTGGTAATCGTGATGTTCTAGAAAAATTGGCGTTTTCAACAAATGGTGAGTGACTTTATATTTCTATGCATGATTATTAAAATTGGTTTTACAAAAATGCACCAGGACTTTAAAAATGGTCCTATTATAATTTTATTTATTCTTGTTTAAAATAATTTGTTAAAATATTGGCGCGGCAAAGATTATTGACCTTTTTTTACAAAAATATAAATATTAAATATGATTGTTATGTTTTAATGTGAACCTTTTAAATATACAACGAAATACTCAATCGTTCGAATCGCGTAATTTTTTTTATTATGCATTTCTAAAATAAAAACTTCAGTTCGGGTAAACTAGTGTGTGAAAAAATAACGTGATGCTAATTGCGAAGAAATATATTCTAAGGTAAGAATCATATCTATTGTTTAAAATTTTAAATCAACCAATAAATTACTATCCATTTACATTATATTATATTGAGCATTTTATCCAATCCACATTTTATCCAACAATTTATTTTCTATTTGTGATTTATTTTTATTATAGTACATCAACATTTTAGTTTACATTAATTAATTACAGTTCATTAATTAATTATATTCGGACAAAATACAGGTACATAAGACTTTGCAACAAGGGCGACTACTTTGTCTTCTTATTGTTTGATAGCACAAGAATTGTAAGGCCAGAGGATCTCTAAAATAGTATGATACATATAACAATTATTATAAATTTACAAATTATTTCATAACTTTCCTTATTATAGTAAACTTATTTTATATGACATAAAATTATTTCGGATCGTTGTTATATCGAATTTTTCTAATAGTCTGTCGCCTATCGGACCGTGCATTCCGTTTCTTAATTTACTCCATCTTTCTATCTGCAGTTTCAACTGTTTTTTTACATTAAAAAATAAACATATTTATCCTACGACAAACATATTACACACTTTACTTATAAAAAAATAGACTCAATTTAATATACCATTAATATAAGGTTTATGGAAACGGTTCATATAGAGTGGTTGTCTATTCAATGATCTCATGGGACACTTCATTCAAATTAATGTTTTCATACATCAATACCGTATTGAAAGTCAATAAACTATATTAGGAATAAAATTTAATATATGAGAAATGCAATAAATTTTTCCAATACAATAGATAGATCCAATTAAAAATATAATGATTTTTTTAAGTTTTTTATCTGTCAATTTATGAGATTTATCATATAAAGTAAAACATAAATTTTAGTTTTATTTTTATTTTGCTAATTATTTCGAGATAAATTAGTATTTTTTTATTTTAAAAACTTACTCATCATCAGGTTTCTTCGAATGTCGCGGTCTGGGTATTTTTTACGTTGAAGAAGAAGCATGTTCAAATTTAAAATTGTGTCCATTAAGTAAACACAATACATTGCTAATGCAGCTATGCTCTGCAAATTTTTTTTTCAATTCAACTAATTGGTAATAAAATATTAATTATTGTAATTATAAATTATACTCATTGTAACATTATTGAAATACGTGCGGTATCTGAATCATAACTTCATTCAATACTCTGAATATTGTACATTTAGAAAAGAAATGAAATTGACTAATGGTAATAATTTTTTTCAATTTTTAAAATATTTGAATATTTTGAATTTGAATATATTATTAAATAGTTGAATATTTTAAAAAGTTTATTGGTTTAAATATATTTGGAATCGATTCCAAATAATAATAATAACAAAAGTAAAACCACATACGAGTATTATATTGTTCTAGGCGTATTTATGCATTCATATTAAATCTTTTTAAACTTACTTCCTATACAAGTTAAGACTCCGTATTTTTATACATATTAATTATCCTTCTATACATGTTTATAATTTGATAGTAAAATAAAAGATTTAGTTACTGCCATGTACTAATCCTGGCCATCTTTCTTCGATAACAAATATATTCAAACAAACATCATATTTAAAAAAATCACAATGTTAATAATATCAAACATCAATTCAGGAATTATATTGGCTGTGTTTTAATATTAGTTTTATTCATGTAATATTTGTTAATATAATCTATATTTCAAAATTTGGTCTTAAAACACAATGCTCCACAAACCACTGGATAATTTTAATTTTGGTGAATGCAAGTGTTCTATGAATGATATGCGATGTACGTTCCACGAATTAGTTATTTTTTTTCATTTTTCAAGAAGAGCAAATGTATATAAATTATCGAAATTTAAGTAGATGTTCTGTCATTAATTGACTTTATTTACCTGCATTCTGCATTGCCAAAAAGCTTCATGCTCATTTCTTCATAGTTTGTGAGA